TCCACTGTATATTTTTTCCTGTTTTGTCGAAGATTAACTGACCATAGAGTTGAGGGTCCATATCTGGGCTCTCTAATCTGTTCCACTGGTCTATGTGTCTGTTTTTATGCCAGTACCATGCTGTCTTGGTGATCACAGCTTTGTAGTAAAGCTTGAAATCAGGTAACGTGATGCCCCCAGTTTTATTTTTGTTTTTCAACATTTCCTTAGTGATTCGGGATCTCTTCTGGTTCCATACAAATTTTTGGATTATTTGCTCCAGCTCTTTGAAAAATACCGGTGGAATTTTGATTGGAATGGAATTAAAAGTATAGATTGCTCTAGGCAGTATAGACATTTTAACAATGTTTATTCTTCTGATCCAAGAGCATGGAATGGTCTTCAATTACAATGCTATGCAAAGGTTTTATGAACCTAATACATTTGTTCTACATTGACCTAATAGGGAAGTCATTATTATTTTCTCAACATGACCATTCTGAAGGTCTTTGATATAAATTGCCTAATAGAGCATCAGAATACTTCAATCATGACAAGTCCCTACACCCACATCTATAAAACCCGATAGTTTCTGATTTATCTATCTATATTCCTTCTGGATCTCCTCTGCCTGGGTCTCTTCTTTGCCTTCTTGTTTCACTTGGATACAGGTCTGTGGGTCAGTGACAATTTGTCCTTTATCAACTTGCAGTAAAGAAAGATATCAGTTGATATAATTCACTTAGAAGGCTTTATAATTGGACAGACAGGAAATGACAATGTCCTGAAGAAATAAGAAGTGATGGAGAGGAAAGACAGAATTTAAAAGGAGATGATAACTCACTAAACATGAGAGAAGAGTGAGAAGGAATCTGTATGGGCTTGAGTAATAAATAGGAAAAATAACCTAGGGATGAAATAAGAGATGAAATAGCAAGAGATAGTTATGGAGAATTGGATTTAAAAAGGTTTTTTTTGTTTTGTTTTTGGTTTTTTTTTTTTGAGAGAGTGAGCAAGCACATGAGCATGGTGGGCGGGGTGGGAGAGGGAGAGGAGAGAGAGAATCCTAAGCAGACTCCACACCAAGCTCAGCACTAAGCCCAAGACAGGGCTAGATCTCCTAACTGTGGGACCATGACCCAAGCCAAAACCAAGAGTCAGATGCTTAACCAACTGAGCCACCCAGGTGCCCCGAATTGTATTTTTAATTGATCCATGAAAATTTCAGCAGGGTAAAGAAAGCTGTATCCACTCTTTCCCCTAGCCAATCTCCCATTCTCAACTTTTAAATTCCTAGGCACATCTGGTGCCTAGGAATTGCTTAAAAACAGATGATACCTCATCTCAAGGAAGAGCATACATGAATGTTCAGGATTGGTTTTTTTCCCATGAGTTCATCTTGGTAAAAATGAGGGTATGAATATGGACCAAGTTTAGAGTCCTTTGTCTAAGAAAGAGAGACTGGAACATTCATGACCCAGGCAACCTAAGGCCTTGAGTAGCCCATAGGGGAGGTAAGAAAACAGGTTAGTATACTCACCTTGTATTTCTTTGGAGGGAAACTGAATTGAGATAAAACTTGCTAAGTAATCAACAAAGCAAAAAGGAATTTATTCAGAATATTTCATTTTAAGTAATTTCATATAATACAATTATAAGTCAGCACTATTCTACTGAAATACAGGCAATTAGAATATCTGAGGCCTTATCTCATTTTCAATTCAACATCATGAGAAAACCATAGTGGATGTTTCAGGGGCATTTAGTTCAACGTCATCATATCCAGGATCCCTCTCTTCCCCCTGAAGCAACCAGGAACTAGTTTCTTCTTTCCCAGGACCAGCTACCCCTCTGTAGAACTGTAGAGAAGAGCCTGAAACATTAAAGAGAAGCTTGATTAGAATTGGGACAAAGAGACAGGACAGTGCCCCATGGTGGAAGCAAGTCAAGTCATGATAACAAAGCATCAGGTAATGTTCAAGAAAGCTCAGACAATTTAATATAGTTACAGCAAAGATATATCAAGGTTATCCTATTGGGATCCAGTCCATGTGGGTCTCCAGAAACACTATTATCACAGGAGATCTATGGCCAACACAGGCGCTCTATAAAGACATGTTTCTCAGGAAAGAATGGCCCAAGAATGATAAGAATCATAAGAAGGACATGCAGGTGTGCCTGGGTGGCTCAGTGGGTTAAAGCCTCTGCCTTTGGCTCACCCAGGGTCCTGGGATCGAGCCCCACATAGGGCTCTCTGCTCAGCAGTGAGACTGCTTCCCTTCCTCTCTCTCTGCCTGCCTCTCTGCGTACTTGTGATCTCTGTCAAATAAATAAATAAAATCTTTTTTTAAAAATCAAATAAATAATAAATAAAATCTCTAAAAACAACAACAACAAAAAGAAGGTACACGCAAATTTCTCCTTTCACAATTGACAGGTCTGAATTCAGAAACAAAGGGGTACAGGAGACCTGGAAAAATCTCAGGTTCACTGACAATCCCACTCTGCTCTTGATGGCCTTGACTTGTGTTCCTAAATGCCCCCCAAAACAATCACACCATCCTTCCATAGTTGCCACGTCCCCAGGTTCACATTGGCCCTCAGAGGGAGAAATACTCTTCTCTGGAGAATGAGTGTCTTCATTTGACAACTGAAATGTCTGAAACAGATTGGCCCTGAACTGCCTACAAATTGAGACTCTATAATCCACCACCATTGCTTTACTTTTCAAGGCTATCATATATGATAGACTTTGTACATATTAGTGCTAACATGATTGCAGTGCCACTCAAATGATCAAATGCCTCACAAATTCCAATATTGCAATATTTCTTAAGTCTCTGAATGCCTTTCAGAAATGGGACAGCGCAAAAGTGTTGTAAGAATAGTCATTCTATTCTTGGACTTGGTAAACTAACCTATGTCTTTAAGGCAAGCACCTCAAAGATGAAGTTATGCAGATGCAGATACAGAGAATATAGAGTGATTCTCTCCGCTCCCCCCCCCCCCGCCCCACCACATTGCCCCCAAGGAATGTGACAGCACAAAAGAAAGGAAGATGGTCAAAGGATATGAGATCATCTGAATTTTGAATCTATAAGAAGGATCAGCAATGAGGAGCTCAAATTAACCCTTTCCAGGACACAGACAAAAGATTACAAGAGATCAACTGACCCCACTCACCTGTTGGAGAGGCCCTCACCACATTCTCCTCCCCTGGGGGCACTTCCCCCTCGTTCATCCAGGAGGCAAAAGGAGCCTCAGGCCCTGGGACCTCTTCAGCATTATCATAGTCCTCACTAGGGGCATCAGTCTTCTGAGCTGGGGGTTTAGATGGAACCACAGTAAATGGGTTGGCCTGGATAATATCTAAAATCCCTTCTGCCACAGAGAATCTGATGGCTGCTAACCGGAGGCACTATTCACTCCATGTTTTAAAAGGTCTTTTCCAAGGTCATGTATTTCATTTTGAGGAGTCCATAAACCAGAAAAATAATCCAAACCTCTCAATATTTCCTGATCAAAACTACGTATTTCAGAGAAACCCTTGCACCAGTGTGCCTTAGTAAAATATTTGGTCAGTTACACTTTCCAGATGCTATTTTTCAAAACAGTGTGTATGTTGCAACTGAATGAGGATCGTTCTGGACACAGACAGCCCAGCCTCACCATGAGGCACATCAGAACAAGCAGAGAAGGAGAGAAGAGATCCCACTAATCCCAGTCAAAGGAAGACTGTCCCTCCTGAATCTCACCTCTATGAAAGGAAGTCCCCTGCCCCCAATACCCAGCCGAGGCAGTTCACCCCTACTACCTGGAGCAGGTTGAAAGTCAGTGTGGTCCTCACCATCCCCAGTGTAATATGGCAGTTTAGTCACGGAGTCATCTGACAGGGTCCCTAATATGGAGAAAAACACAAAACGAAAAAAATCACAAAGCAGACAATACACACTCTCTCATACACATGGGACCTGTGGTAAGGCTGAGAAGAAATGCTCGAGCACATGTGGCTCCTGTGGTATAAAGAAAAGGTTCAGAGCTCACAGGAGCTCAGCGGAAACCCATCTGTGGCCTTTGGAGGAGTTGCTTCTGCAAGCATGAGGGAGTATGGGATCTGCAGAGAAGCCTTGGCTCACAGACAGTGGGGCCGGGGGAGGGGCTGACATCTAGAGGGCCCAGGAGGGCAAGGAAGGGATACACACCAGTGCGGCCCAGCAGATCTTCCTTCGTTGCCACAAGATAGTCAATCTCCTCGTACACAGCCTCGTTGGGAACATCTTCGAAGCTGGCTAAGGCTGAGCAAACCACCAGCAAGTGAGAAATGTCCCCGAGTTCATCCCTGACAAACAAGCGAATCATTCTCCCCAGCAATCAACATGGAAAAAGCCTCAGGGCTGCCAGGACTCCAGTAGTCTCCTCATACCCCATGTGCCATGTCTGCACCTCTCTGCCTTGTCTGGCCCTGCATCCACAGCTCAGCTCCTATTCTTTCTTGTCTCACAGAGAAGCCATGACTGACAAGTGTTCAATCCTAAGACAGCCCTTAGAGTTTCATGTGGGGCAGATGGAGATTTTCAAACACAGTTCCCCCCTCCCACCTGGCCCTCTCTCCAGCCTCCACACACTTTCCATGTTACCCTGTACCCCTGTAGCCCACCTCTGTGCTTTGCTCTCCATCTGTACATCTGAATCACCAGGATGACGAGGACCAGGAAGAGTAGGGCCCCCAGGATGAAGCAGAGCATCTCAGACAGGGAGAAGATGCCACGGATGAGATTTGGGCCTCGTCTGATCCCTAAGGAGAATAAAGCCAATAGGATTTGGAGAAGGGCAAGGGCCCAGGGAAACTCCTTTAGCATTTCCAGCCTGGGCAAGTCCCAGCCTCAGACATAACAGGATTGACAGTGACCCTGGTGGACACTCCCCCAGGCTTTATTCTAAGATAAACTGAATTCTACTCCACTGAGGTTCTACGGAGGGCTGGGCCAACTTACACAACTGTAGCCCCCTTTCTTCAGGCTTCTCCAGACCAGAGCATCAAGATAGGCATCTTGCTGAGGGGAGTGACACTCATGGGCAAGTGGGAAAACCTTAGATTCTGAAGCACAGGAACCAACCTCCCTTGGCCCAAGGGCAGTGGAAATTTGAAGGGAGTGAAGGGAAGTTCCCCAAGGAAAATGCCCTAAGACCTCCCCACCAGCAGTTGGCTCTTTGGGGTCTTTCCTTTCCTGAGTTGGCTAATTCTGTAAGATTCCACAAAACAGGTCCCCCAAATCTGAATATTCTCCCCTGCCTCTAGATTGTGGCACTGTACCTCCTGTAGGAGACTGCAAGCTTGTTCTTCCACCTAGAGAGAAAAACAGGAGTTTCTAGTCCGGGATTGGATCAGAGTGCAGGGCAGCCCATTTTCCCTACCTGAGCCCTGAAATCACTCCTCAATTACCACAACGTCAAAGTTGAGACCTCCCCCTCTTCTAGATCCAGGGCTGACAGCATCTAGATGCAAACGCAAACTTCCCATTTTACCTGAGCCCACCCCACTGGCCCACCCTTGCTCCAGCTCAGCCAGAGCCACTCACCAGAGCACCGCACCCCAGCGTCCTCCTCGTGCTTGCAGTTGTTCTGGCCCCAGGGGTCCACAGCACAATCCCACAGGGAGGGCTCCCTGCCCCTGCATTTCACCTCATCCAGCCAGATGCTTCCATTTCCCGGCCCAAACGCCGCCTTCTGCAGTGCCTCGAAGGCTGAGCCACAGCCCAGCTGCTGACACACCACCTCGGCCTCTGCCAGGCTCCAGGAGTCATCACACACCGTGCCCCAGGAGCCCTCGTGCCAAACCTCCACTCGCCCTGAGCACTCGGTGTCTCCTCCCCTCAGTCGGAGCTTCTCTTTGTCTGAAAAGGCAGCAGCATCTTCTGTTACTGCCCCTGGTGGGAAGGAAGGAGCCCTTGGGAACCAACAGGGGAGAGGGGAGGGGCTTTATGTACCTGTGCAGGGGGCAGCCGTTGGACAGCTCCTGGGTCTCACTCCTGCAGAAGCAGACAAGGGGGCACTGCAAGATCCGGGACAGCTGGGGGTGCTCTTCCCCAAACAAGATTATCTGAAGTGCTTGCCTTCAGCCCAAAGGACAAGTGAAAATAACAGGTGTCCTAATTAGTCTAATGGGCTGAATTACTGAGACATTCGCTAAAAATCATAGCCATTATCTGTTTATCTGTTTACTTGTTTCTCAGTTTCTGCATTCCACAATAAATAAAACACAGACACGTATGTGCGCACACACACACACACACACACACACACACACACACACACACAAACTCCATGAGAGGAAACACCTTGCATGTCTTATTCATCTCTATGTTTCTGCTATGTATAGGTGGTATATTGTATGCATTCATTCAACAAGTGTGCATTGAGAACCTTTTATAAATACTATGTATAGGGGCTTGATAAATATTTATTTAATGAATGGGTGAATAAAATCCAGTAAAACATGATTCCTTTAAATTCTTGCTAATAAGTCTCAGAATAAGGAAATACAAAGAGATATTAATGGTTTGTGGTAATAATAGTGGATATTATTTTTAAATCCAGAATCACAGACATAATTTACATTCACTATTCCATTTATATTTTTATTGGAAAATTATATAACAGATTATAAACTTTTCTTACCTATTTTTCAGTATGACATGTGCATAAGCAAAGACTACTATGTAAAGAGGATACCTTTTGTAAAGAACTGGAATAAAGAGGATTCAGAGAAAAACGGTTAGGTAGATGAATGGCTAAGGAGTGAGACAGAAATGTTCGCAAGGTACTCAAATATACTGCCAAAAAACTGCATGGAAAGAGGACACAGATAACAAACATGGGATGAAAAAAAGACAAAAAATAGAAACCAAAGGAAGAACAGAAATTCAAAAAATTACAAGAAAACAGAAGTATACAAATTTTAGGATTATTTGCTCCAGCTCTTTGAAAAATACCGGTGGATTTTTATTGGAATGGCATTAAAAGTATAGATTGCTCTAGGCAGTATAGACATTTTAACGTTTATTCTTCTGATCCAAGAGCATGGAATGGTCTTCCATCTCTTTGTGTCTTCTTCAATTTCTTTCATAAGTGTTCTGTAGTTCCTCGAGTACAGATCCTTTACCTCTTTGGTTAGGTTTATTCCCAGGTATCTTATGGTTCTTGGTGCTCTAGTAAATGGAATCGATTCTCTAATTTCCCTTTCTGTATTTTCATTGTTAGCGTATAAGAAAGCCACTGATTTCTGTACATTGACTTTGTATCCTGCCACGTTACCAAATTGCTGTATGAGTTCTATTGATGCCCTTATTATTATTATTATTTT